TAATAAAATAATAATATGCTAAAACAATTATTTACTAATCATATTTTATATCCTTTCACATATTTTAAACTAAAATAAATCTAACCCATATTGGGGTGTGACAGATTGAGTTTTGACAACTTAATTATTAAGTATACAACATTAAGTTAAACGATTAATAATTTCAAATATATTAATTTTAGAAACTCACTCTAACAAAATTCAAAGGTTTTAAAAATAAGGGTACACGATAGTAGATATCATTGAATTTTAGGCGTTGTATCGTTTATACTATTGAACTTTCAATTTTATCAATTATAGTATTGAACTTTGATTTTCGTTTCAATTATACCATTGAACTGTTAAATCGTTAATGACACGATGACGTGACTGACGGCTATTGATGTGACTGACAACATAGACACCTCATTTAAATGATGTCATTTTGATCCACTATTAAGGGTTTAACGACCTAGTGATATAATTGAAATGAAAATCAAAGTTTAATGCTAGAATTGGTAAAATTGAAAGTTTGATGGTGTAAATGATACAACGCATAAAGTTTGGTGGTATCTAATGTAGTTTATCCTAAAAATAATTTCTAAAAATTATCAATGTTTAAAAATCATGGCATCATACATTTGAGAAACATACAAACTTTTTAAGAAATATACAAGACATATATCAGAACACGCTTTCACGCTAAATGCTAGAATAAAACGAGCATAAACGTAGTAGAAAGATCAATATAAATACTTCAGTCATTGTCTAATTGATGTCAAAATCGGAATCTAGTAGCACTAATGTCAAATGTGACAAATCATTGTTAGCCATCACCAATTACCGTTGAGCACTTTAGTTTTGATGGCACGAATGACTTAAATTGTCAAAAATCTCCTAAGGACTTACTATTTTATTCCAAAATTTTGAATATAGAAAGTTCAATAGCAATTAGGGGTGAGCATTCGATCGAGTCGAGTAAAAAAAAATTGAGTTATTTGAGTTGACGAGTCGTATTTTACAACTCGAACTTAACTTGAACTTTTTTTAAGTTGAGTCGAGTTTAATAAATTTGTGTCGAGTTACTCGAGTTTTTATACTAATTTTATTACAATTATTTATAGTATTATGACAATGATTTTTTCAAATTTTTTAACTTTAACTAACCATAATATATATATATTATTCTTTCATATTATAATATTATTTAATATATCAAATACAAGCTAAAATTATGAAATATATTCATAATATTACATTTTAAAGAAAGTATTTTGAGGGTAAAATATTGATCGGTGTATAAATGAGTCAATGAATTGATTAGAAGAAAGAATTTGCAAACAATTGTAGTCAAAAGACCAAATTGAGTAAAATGCACATTTAATGTACTAAATAAAAAAGAGAGTACATCTTTAGTAAAAAAAATAACAATTGAAGTTACATAGGTATTCTATTGTGGTATATGAGCATGTGGTTCAAATTTGATAAAAATGAACTTAAAATAAATCACAAATTGAAGGAATAAGGAGATTATGAAAAATTAAAGGACTAAATTGAAAAATTATAATCAAAAAGAGGAATTGAAAGTATACATATATTCTACTATGGTTTAGAAGTAATGTGGCTCAAATTTGGTAAAAAAAAGGACATAAAATAAATGTCAAATTAAATAAATAAGGAGATTATGAAAAATTGAAGGACTAAAATGAAAATTTTGTTATCAAAAATATGGATTGAAAGTACACATGTATTCTACTATGGTTTAGGAGCATGTAGTTCAAATTTGGTAAAAATGGATTTAAAATGAAGGATGAATTGAAGAAATAATGAAATCAGTGACTAAATCGTAAAACTGTCAAAATAGTTAGTCAAATTTTTCGATTTTTTGAGTAACTTGAAAATTCAAAATTTCAACTCGACTCGAACTCAAAAATTGAATTTATAATTCAAGTTGACTCGAATAACTCGAATAACTCGAAACTGAATTTTTTTTTTTTTCAAATTGAGTCGAGTTTTGCTCACCCCTAATTGCAACAGTGAATAAAACCTTCCTATATCCCTTCTACCATTTTTACTGATGAGAAGAGAGCGGAGAGCTCGAACAAGTACTTATTTATTCACTCACTTATTCTTTAATTTTTTTTGTCACTCAACTATTATTTTTTTTTTCAAAATCACATAGAACGTTACTGAGGACAGAGACATTATCAAATACTGGGAGGGGCAAGGTATATAAGTTCAAAATAATAAGGATTCATTATGTATTTAATCTAAAAATCTGGGGAGGGGCAAAAGTTTATTTTTACTTAAATTTAAACTAATAAGGATCTAAAATGCTATTAAACCAAAAATATTGAGAGAAGCAAGAGCCCACACTCTCTATATAGTTACGTCCCTGAACGTTATAGGTTTTTTTTAGGTTTTTTGCCATTAAAAATGACATGACATTATCTTATGATGACTGATGAGTGTCGAATCCAACAAATAATAATACTTGCTTTTAGAAATATAAATTGTAGTAGAGATAAACAAGGTCGAATCCATAGAGATTGGATATACATATTTAAAGAAAAGGAAATGAGTTTTGAAATTGAGAAAAAGAAAAAGCAATTATAATCAACTAAGAATTTAGAGAAATTAATATCAAGCAAATATCCAACTAAAGGTATAATTTCAGAATTGGTTCAGAGAATTGATCATAGATGCAATGATAAAATCTTCTACTTTTCACTAAATTGGTTATGGTTATTGACAAGCTCTGACAACATGTCTCTCCTTAGTTTCTTGATAATCAAGAGAAGCTCTTTGATTATTTCCCTTGTTAATGAACAACCCTAGACAAACGCTTAAGATTTAATCCACCAACAACATTAATCACTAGAGAGACCACCAATTCTAGCCAACAAATACACAAACTCATTCATTTAGACTAGATTATATACCTTCATAACATAATCAAAAATTAACTATGTTACTTTACCACTACTATTAGAACGTTTAAACAATTATAGATTTAAAGTTCAAAATGGCAATTTATCAACTTGATAATTGAACAATGGGCCCTTTACAACAATCAACCAAGATAATAATTCTTAATAAAAATAGAAGATATATAAACAGCGAAGAAGTAAAAGAACAATGAAAATTATTTAGATCTCACAATCCTTGAAGAACCAAAACTTCAATTATCCTTTAGTTGGAACAAAAGTATTTAACTACTCATAATTGAAAGAACAACCAAAAGAAAATAAAGATGAAGTTGAAAAGTAATCCTAGAAAAAACTTGTAAAACTATGAAAACCCTAACTCCCCTTTTATAAGGATTGTCCTATTATACATAAGGAAGTTTCCCCAAAGTAAATCTTGCCAAAATAGGGTTTTTTAAATACCCTCATCCTTTTCTAAAGATAAGAATGATTCAATATAGTCTTTCAGCCGTCATTAAACTCTTTTCCCCTTGTAAATTTGTAACCCTAATTTAGGGTTATACGGACTGGTAAGGCGTGCCCACGCCTTAACTGCAGACTTCTTCTACGATTGCTCAGGATGAATAAGTTGTGCCCACGCCTTATGCGGAAACCTCTTCTGGTCTTGCCAACTTCTTGAATTCCTATTTTTCTTCCTTAATTTGGGGATTTCATGAAGATCGTGCCATTCATTGGATTTTGAACTTGTTTAATCCAAATCTTCAACCTAATCCACAAAATACGAAATATAATTGAAATCCATGATTTAAGCAATTTTAGTTATTCAAATATGAGGAAAATATCATATAATATATGGCTAATATGCATCTTATCAATGACACGTCGATGTCACCATTAAATTTTTAACGAGTGATCAAAATAGAACAAAAATATAATGTTAAATATGATTTTGAAAAAAAATACTTGGATGACCAAAATAAAAACTATGTAATTGGTGGGTGACCAAATAGATAGTTTACCCAATGAAAATAAAGCCAAGGAAGAAAAAAAGGTAATAAATAGACAATATATATTTAGGGATGGGCATGAGACCCGAACACGAAGGTCAGGTTTCTTTAAAAATGTAAAGAAAATAAAGTTATATTTCTTTAAAAAATTCAGGTTCAGGTCCGGGTTTTTAAAGGTTATGTTCAGGTCGGGTTGGGTTCAGGTGAAAAATACCCGACCCAACCCCAAAAAATTATAATTTTATCTTATATATTTAGGGATAATTGTAATAGTACCCCTCTATATATTATTTTCTTTCAATTAAATCCATATTTTTATTGAATAAAAATAATATTTTTTAATAAATATATTATTTTGGGCCGAGTGGAGAATTTATAATTTTCGAGTCAGCTCAGGTGAACTGAAAATCTGACCCGAACCGGTCCATACCTATCCTATATATTGTTAATCTCATAAAAGAAGCTAGTTAAATTTTAAATTTTAAAGAATAGGAACCTCAAATATATTCAAAGCTACAAATTACTTAAAACTAATGGACATAATGTTAAACTTATGGATATAATGTTAGACTTAGCTTCTAATATTATCAAAATGATTATTTTGGTCACTGATGTTTCATTTTGGGGCAAAAAGATTCATTTGTGTATGAAAATCGTTAGTTAACAAATGATTAACGCTTCATTATAAAGACTTTTTTTACCCTAAAATGAAATGTTAGGGGACCAAAATACTCCATAAAAGAATAAAGATCAAAGTGATTATTCATTTAAATTTTAGAAATTTTTTATACTAAAATAAAATGTTGAGGCCAAAATATGCCAAAGCCAAAATTTTGGAGGCTAATCTTAACATTATGTCAAACCGATGGAACAAAGGCACCAAACACAATAAAGCATACATGAAGCTCAAAGCTATATGTAAAGCCAAAATCATAAAGCTCAACTCTAATTCTCTCAATTTGCCCTGAACCTAAATACCAAATTTCAAAGGCTAAGCCCAAAACTAATACATAGATAAAGCCGTAGAGGCATAAAGCTGAAGAATTATATACATTAATTGGTAAGCCCAAAATGACCAGAAAGTTCAAGAGGCAAATTTGACTGAAGAAATCGAAAAGGTCCCAATTGTATTGTTTCTCCCATAAAAAACACTCATCTCTCTCTCTCGTTTTTCTAATTAAGCAGAAGATACGATTTCTGCGTGTCTGGAGGAAAAACAGTCATCTTTCTCAAATTGAAAACCCAGGAAGCTCTAGCAGGGAAGAAGAGGGAAAGAAAGGGTGGTTTTGGGAGCTTAAGAAGAAATTTGTAAGAAAAATGGAGATAGAATTGGAGCCGAGGGTGAAGCCATTGAGTTACAAATTGAAAGCAACATCTCGAGAGTCACCTTCTCAGAAAGCCTCTCACGTACTCGACACCGACCTCAGGACTCATTGGTCCACTACTACCAATACTAAGGAATGGATCTTGCTTGAGCTTGATGTAAGTAACATTTTATATATTTTTGCCTTCCTTTTTTATATTAACATGTGGAAAATATCTCTGGGTTTTGTTTTTCTATCCATTTACGTTCATTTTTGGGTTCTTTTGCTTAATTTTGGTTATTTATCCTATTTTGTTAAGGTTTGATTTCTTTTTTTGGGGTATGTCTGTTTATTGTTTTGTTTTGGCAATTGAATGAATTTTTGCATAATTTCCCCTTGTTTTGAACATAAATATGAAGCTTGTTAGTTTAACAAACGTGTCTGTTTTGAACATTAGTTTTTTAACCGGATGAATGATTGAAGGAGAAAGCACGAAGTTCTACCAAATATTGTGTAGAATTCTGTTTCTGATAAAATTGTGAAATTAGGGCACCATGAATATACTTGCGTGTATCCTTCCAGGAGCTAAACTGTGATAACTTAATATAAGCTCATTTATGCTTTTGTTTCTCTTTGTTTCCTCCTAATTGGAGTTCTGAGCTCCATTTACGTGATGAAGATGAGATATTTACCAATTACTACTGTGTGTAAACTTTTTCCTATTGAGTTTCTTGATAGATTCTTGTTTTCCTCTGGTTTATTAGCATATATTGTTCAGATTTTCTAGTATTGTCTGAAAGATTTTTTTCCCTCTCTTTCTTCACAGGAACCTTGCCTATTGTCACATATACGGATCTATAACAAATCTGTGCTTGAATGGGAGATATCTGTTGGCTTACGATATAAGGTTAGGTCTTCAACTAATTGCCATTTATGCTTGACTTCCTTTGGTCTAATTTGATTATTAAGTTGAAAATTTATCTAAAGAGCCACTTTATTTTTTTAACTGTTTGCAACTTTTTTATTCAGCAAAATGTGAAGGTTATTTTAAATGTCTATAAATTTTGCCAACTGGTTACTTATTACTTTGATGTTTGGATATGCTAAGTTTTAGTTTTACGCTAAGCATCTTGCATAGATTTTCTTGTTCATCAGTATGGTGGGGGAACAAAATATTGAAATGTTTTAGGCTAAGTGCATTTTTGATCCATGATTTTGGAAGTATTCTAAAGACTCTAAAAAGCCTTTAAAGGATCATAGAAGTATTCATTTTCTATGACCTTTTAAAAGGTGATTTATCTCGGCAAGAGCACAAATGAATGGAACCAACATACAGTATAAATGTATAATCCAAATCCCACACAACTGATCTTGAAAAATGACTATAATCATAGGAGTAAACTTCAAATAAGAGCTAGACTAGAATGCAAAATATTAAAATACTTCTTAGTTGTTGAATAAAATTGAATATAACTAATCCTAATTTTAAATACATCTTGTTTTACCCTAAATAATCTAATTATGCATAGCAATGACTTGCATTCTTGCACCTTTATTTGTTATTTCTCTTAACATGGGTTATTTTTCTTGGGACCGGTGATTCTAAACTGCAATTTATGTCTAGTAATTTTATTGTATTGCCGGGTTTTCTTTACAGCCTGAGACATTTGTAAAAGTTCGACCACGCTGCGAAGCACCTCGCCGTGATATGATGTATCCTATGAACTACACTCCATGCCGCTATGTACGAATATCTTGTTTACGAGGAAACCCAATTGCAATTTTTTTTATTCAGGTAACAGCTATATAGTTCTTTCAATAACTATGTTGAACATCAATAATTTTGTAGTCTTTCCTTTCTAGGGGAAAAGACAAATTAATGGGTGTGTTCCCCAACTGTTTCATGTTGAGCAATGGCCTGATAAATTATTATTTACACAACAAAACCATTTTTCCATTCTAATCTTTTTGTTGGATCCTATGAACACGAGTTGTAGAAATTGGTGTATCCGAAGTACGACGCCACATATTTGGACATAGATACTGGGCCAAGATCCTCCTATTATGAAAACTAACAAAATTGAGCATAGGGTAACAGGTGTGATTCTACTAAAAGAACATGCTTAGAGAACCTGGATATATGGATTTAGAGGACCAAGGTTCCAGTAAAAAATGCTTAAAACTATGCAGCCTGGCATTGTAGCTAGAGAGAAATTGTGAAAATGAGCAAAAATGACATTCTTATTCGAATAATAGGTTCCTGTACAAGTACTGTTTGGTGGTCACAGAAATACTAATTCCTTCTATTTTCCTTCACAATCAAATTTACATTTTTTAATTGATGATTTTGATAAATGTAGAAGTACTTATTATTTAAATCTTATTGTATCTTTCCCTGCAGTTGATTGGGATACCAGTGACTGGTCTTGAGCCAGAATTTCAACCAGTTGTTAATCACCTATTACCGTACATTATGTCAAACAAACAAGATGCTCATGATATGTATCTTCAGGTGAGCATCTTAAAACTATTGCCTGTAATGCTCCACAGTTTGCTGCCTTGATTGTCATGTTTCTTTCTTCACTGCTTCTGATGCTCGTTAGTTTGTAGTTGCTTCAAGACATGACGAATCGATTACATGTATTCCTTCCCCATCTTGAGGTACATTTTCCTCTTAAATGATCTGTATCTCACCTTTCTTTGTTTTTGTTCGTGTTGGTTTTTTGGTAACTCCTCTGCCCTTGCTTTTGCATTCTGAGCATATTTTTTGTTTTGCAGGCAGAATTCGCCTGTTTTTCAGATGGTGCTGATTCCAATTTACGTTTTCTGGCAATGCTTGCTGGTCCTTTTTATCCAATACTTAACATAGTGAATGAAAGGTAGATTTATCCTTCCTTTTTTGCTTGGAAATTGGAAGCTTCTTCAATAATTTATTTTACTATGGTTTAGACTATCTGGTGGCATATTTATTTAAGTTTATGCTCCATGGTCTAATTATGCTGCAGAGATACTGCCAGATCTACATGCATTATTACTGATTCTGAAGTTCCTAGAAATGCTCAGTCATTGTCATCATTGACTATTTCCTCTAATTTTGAGGTATCTCATTTTCAATTGTTGTGTATCATCTTTATTTTTCATTGCAGTGGTTTACCTTTGATTCACTAAGCATGATTATGACTGATTATCGCTCATGGAAGTTGCTTTAATTTTCATTTTTATTTGTTTGATGGAATGACTTAAATATTCTTTATACTTCTAAAACTGTTTCTATAAATTTCCGTAAGGGTTTTGGTTTCTATTTTTCTTAAAAGAAATATACAAATTTTAAATGGAAAGAGAGCTTGCAGGAGACAACACATGGGATTATATATGGCTTTGTGAAATGAAGAATAATGACTAGAAGTGCAAAGTTACCTTCCAACCTGAGTTGTGTAGTGCTTCTTGGGTGCTGCTATATGGTGCTGACTGAAATAATATATACCAAGGGTTTATCAGCAAATGAGTGAAGGTGGCTTCTTAGTTTTAAAAAGTGAGCCAAAGGTGCAAAGCGCTTATGTGTGCATAAAAAAACGCCTCTAAAGTTAGAGGCGAAGCAAGATACAGGAAGCACCCCAAGGCACTTGCTTTTAAAGCTTTCAGGGGAGGCGCCAAGCGCATTGCTTTAACCGCTTTTATGCCCCCCCCCCACCTTTTCTGTTCTTTCTTTATAGAGTAAAGATAAGATCTAATATAATAAATTAATATAATAAACATTATACTGCCGCCTATGCCCCTCACCCTTCTTTATAGAAAAAAAGCATTTAATAAATAGATAAATAAGAATATATAACTATTTTTATAATTATTTAATAATAATTTTTATAATTATAATTACTTTTTATAATTATAATATTTTTTTTGATAAGATATAATTATAATATTAATAAAATTTATTTACATAATTAATATTTTCATCTAAATTTTTATTAATATACTCATATTCTTATATCTACTTAAAAACATCATCATTAATTCAATATAAAATATTAACTAAATAAAAAATTGTATATTTTTTTAAATAACATAATAAGAGATTTCAGAATTTTACTTTAAGGTTATAATTATAATTAATTATTATATTCACATATTGTAAAATAATTAATTTAATTCAGAAATCAAAATACACATCTAACATTATTTTATACATTAAATTCTTCATACTTAAACATACAATCATTAATTTATTATAGTGTAACCCTAATTCTGTGCTAAAGTGTTTTGGAAACAATCAATGGTGAAGGAACATAGTGTGGAGAGGAGATTAAGTGCTTTAGGAGTGAATCAGTGCATAATAGACGTGGATATGTTCCAGAATTGATTTATAAAATATCTAGTAAAAAAAGTGTGCCTTGCCTACAAAAGGCGCATGCGTTCTCCTACGAAAGGCACGCGCCTTCGCCTTGCGCCTAGGCTCCAGGGACACTTTCCGCATCGATGCGTGTTGCGCATTTTAAAACCAAGGATCGCTCCAATTTCTGATTATATAAGAGTTTTAACATAGATGGTTCGGTGACATGCATCATAGCCCTAAGGATCCAATGTGATAAAGGAATGATTAAAACAAACCAATGAATTTAGTATGGTGGGTTGTGTGTAGACCAATTACTGTAAGTGATAAGTTGATGTTTATCTATTTTTAATAATTATCTTAAAGAGTTCATATAGCTTTAAATTGGTTTGAGGGGAGCCATTTAATAAAGTCCTACTATTTTGAGATTGTGAATTTGTTACGGTCCCGACTAATGGATCGAGTCACCGAGCGATGTGTCATTGGGTTCTTTCCATGATTTTTACTTCTTCCACAATTATGACCTATGATTAACAAACGGAACTCGTCAATGGGAATTTTAGACCTTAGACTTGTTTAGAGAGAATCTTAGACCTTACAAATTTTAAATAAAATCTGACTTAAATTTTATTGATGCTAATGAGCCTCTTTAAATAGAGGTTACATTCCTTGTTTGAATAAAAGTCTTACTAAGAAAGCAATCCTATTAAGGAAAGGCTTCTTAGAATATAAATTACTAATAAATAGGATTTTCTAATAATAACAAACTTCTAATAATAATAATAAACTGATTTAAACAAAATAAAAATTGACACCTTTAAACTTATCTTGCACTCAAATCTCGTGGATGTCGCTCAGAGGTGCAGCCCACGGATGCATCTGTAACATAATTGTTGTTATATTTCATATCAGCTCATTTTAAGTTTTGAACTCTTGATATTTCCCATTTCCTTAAATTATATTTTCTGGAGGTACTTGTGCATGATTCTGATATTTCTATGTGTAATTCTGAATTTACCAGCCTTACAACTTCTATATCTAGCATTATCCAAGTTAAAGATGTCCTTTTGTACAATAATGCAATAATGCATACATTTCTCCTTTCTCATAGATATGAGTAACAGAAAACTAATGTCTCTTTTTCTTCTTTGCATGGGAAGCCACGGAGATCTCGCAACACATCATCTTTTGTGTTATCAACTTCCAGTTCTGTCGTGTTTCGTCCAGATGCAATTTTTTTGCTGTTGAGAAAAGCATATAAAGATGATAATCTAGGAAGTGTTTGCAGAATGGTAATGCACCCACTTGCTTTTTAACTTGGTAATGATGTTTCAGCTCAATAATGATATGCTTAATTAAAGGTACTTATGTCTGCAGGCTTGTAGAATGCTTCAGAAGCTTATAGAACCTGTTACAACAACGGATGAATCAAACCCTTTGACTGAAGTTACACCAGTTTTGGATGAGTCCTCAAAATCAGAGTTACATAATCCTCACATTAATGATTACTCAAAATTATTTGGGGAAGAATTCCGGTTGATGGATGATCACTGGGACACTAGAATTCTTAATGTCTTGGATATGGGAGCTGTGGAAGAAGGGATTTTACATGTTCTCTATGCTTGTGCATCACAGGTCAATTACAGTTTCAGGATATGATATGTTTCAAGGATTATTTTACTTGCTATGTTAATTTTTCTCATCTGGATCTATGAATATATATTTTCACTCTGTATGTATTACAGCCTCAGCTCTGCAGAAAATTAGCAGACAGTACTTCTGACTTTTGGTCTGTGTTACCACTTGTACAAGCATTGCTTCCAGGTAGACTGACTAAATCCGTATCAGCTTTTAAGGAGGTCATAACTTTAATTGGATAATGAATTTGGCTAATGAGCCAATATTGCATCTTCATAAAAATTGGTAATTACTTCTATTTGCAGCAAAAGTATGTCATCAAACATTTTTAAGATGGTAATGACCATCTTGGATTGAATTTCGAGAACCTGTTATATTGAATGCATTTGCTTTTTTCCCTCTCTGTTTGGCATTGATTCTTTGCGATATTGCAGCACTTCGTCCTGTTGTAAGCAGTCATTCTGATCATGTTGATGATACTTTTTCTCAGTGGAAACAGCCTTTTGTTCAACAAGCTCTCTCACAGGTTGCTGTTGCTCTTTATTTAAATCTGTTTCTGGAAGCCAAAAGGAAAAATGAAAATAGCGTGTTGATGGTGGTCTGATTGGTTTCTATTTCTATGCTTTCTGATTGCAGATTGTTGTGACAGCATCTTCTTCATTGTACCATCCACTTCTTCAAGCCTGTGCCGGCTACTTATCTTCATACTCACCATCTCATGTATGTAAATTTGTGTTCGTTTAATTATTCTAGTAGCAGCCATTCTCCTATTTGCGTCTATAATTCATAATTTTTCTTTATCTTGACTTAAGTATTCACATTATCATGATCTCTCTTTTCCTCTGACACACAAAACTTGCACTAACTCGTGCAATATAGAAAATGGGTTGAATGCACTACAAATACTGTGTAACAATAAATGTAACCATAAGAAAGAAATCCTGACAGCTTACCTTTCAAGTTAGAATTTCACATGCCAAGCACATTTTTGTGGTAAATATGTTGACTCGGGAACCAACTATGCACGTGTTGCTGATCAAAAAGTGATCTATTTATAGTATCTTGTAGGAGTTATTCCCCTTTGATTTGTTTTCTCCCTATGCAAGTAAAAACATCCCTTTATCTCAAAACTTATGTTTCATAATATTTTTGTACTAAAAAAAATCTTTTTGACCTCAACTTCTTCTACAGGCTACGTCTGCATGTGTTCTTATTGATCTATGTTGTGGCACGCTAGCCCCTTGGATGCCTCAGGTCATTGCAAAGGTTGGTCTGAAGCATGTCTTCCTAGTATAAACTATGGTTGGTGATGCATCACTGATTGCCATGTCAGTTTATATTGTTCTCTTGATAAAAATTTTATTTTTTGTGTTTTGGAACTTAATGATGCAGGTTGATTTAACTGTAGAACTCATGGAGGACCTTTTGGGCATAATCCAGGTATTATTACTAATATTTGAAAACAGAAGTGAAACATGGAATTCAAAGATAGGTAATGAGATATTTATGCAGGTGTTTGTATGAGAATAAAATTTAGGCCAAGGAGAATTATATGAAAGATCTTTACAGTTTATAACTATGCATGTTATGCAGTTAATTGCTGGTGTACTTACACGCCATTCCTGTGGTTGAGAATTAAATCAACTGTAAAATTCATAAAGATCTTTGTGTTTAAAATTTTTGAAGATATCCAATACATAGTAGTTTTGAAACAATTTTTTTTTAAGAAAAACACATTTCATTCCTCAGAATGTTAGTAGTATTTTGCTTCAAATTTTTTACCGATCTCAGAATGCAGAATGGTTTTTTTTTTTATAGAAGTAGGTGGTCTCATTAAAAACCCCCTTCAGAGTTAACCCTTACCAAAAGGAAAGGGACAACTAGCGGAAGGAGGAAAAGAGTATCTCATTTTATTGATATTTCATAATTATATCAGAAAACCTTTACATAACATCAGAAAGGCTGTCCTCAAAAGATGCAGGAACAGCCTATATAACAGCTAACAATTATCCGATCCCTTCTTTAGCTAACTTATCAGCCTCCCAATTACAACCCCTAGGAATTAACTTCACTAACAATGCCCTAGACAATACATAAGACTCAATCTCCTTAATTAATTTACTAAAGAATTCAGGGGCAAGACATGGCAACTGGATCCATTCCACGGCTGTTTTGCAGTCACTTTCCAGAATCAACCTGCCTTTATTAGACTAGACTGAGGAATAAAAAAATTCAGTAGCATTTCTAATGGCCTCCAACTTTGCTAATGGGGGAGGACCAGGTTCAACACTCTCTGAAAACGATGCTAGAGCGAAGCCATTTGAATTTCTAAGAATGCTCCCTATGCCACCAGCCATCCCATCTCTTCTAACAGCACCATCAACATTAAACTTATAAAAATCAACAGGTGGAGGGAGCCATTTAATTACAGCCTCATTCGGAAACTTTGAACACTTTATCCCATCTGCTAAAGACGGATCAGCCATTAACGAGTCTACCGAGATCGACACTTGATGAAACTTGGCTAAAAACCACTTGGCTAATCTGAACCTGACAATGAAGAATAGGGACGACCTATCCAATACCTTATTCTCAAAAACAATTGAATTCCTATGTTTCCATAACGACCAAAGGACCACACCTGGAAAGAACGCAGATTGGTTCATCCGGCTTAAATGCTAAACAGTTATGGCATCAAGCAATATCTGGGTTGTGATATGCCAAGTTTAACATATGAAGTTGTTTTTATGCGTATTTTGGAAGGGGATATGTGATATTTGCAACTGGTGCAATCCCATAAGACCGGTGCCCCAATTTGATGGCCAAATATTGAAAGATAAAACTCTTCCTCAACCAAAATATGAATTAGTTGGATTAACCCATAGCTAAGGCATCCATCATATCTGGCATCTCTGGGAGAATCCTCTCATGAATATAAGATGCCTAGAAATCTTACTAATTGCGATTTATATGAGAGGCCTTATATCATAGACTGGCATCTCCAACCGTTTGATCATTTGGTCTTCAATGTACGCTTAACATAGTGTTACCTGGAATTTTATGGTATTTGTTTCTTGTTTGTTGTTCTTTTCTTGTAATCAAAGTGGTGGTTCATTAGTTTTAGTTATGACCGGGACTATTGATAAAGGGGAGTGTAAAGTAGTTTGACTCAGCTATGTTTCTTTTTGTGCATATACTATGCAATGAATTTTTTGGGCGCAGAAATCTTTTTGTTTATTTCTCTTATGTAATGCAGTTGTTTTATTTCTCTTTAAAATCTCTTTCCAGGGAGCCCGTAACTCATCAGCTCATGCTCGTGCTCGTGCTCGTGCTCGTGCTGCACTTAAGTACATAGTGCTAGGTCTGTCTGGTCACATGGATGATATACTAGGGAAGTTTAAGGTATTAGATCATCCTTTTCTTTCTGTTCATATGTATATATGTTATTTTATTTGTGGAAACTGCCCAATTTCTGTATGCAAGGAACATACTTACCACCATCGAATAATACCTCTAGGAGAAAATAATCGATTCATTCTGGTTTACCATCTAATACAATATTCTGTAGTGGAAATGGTGGAGCATTTTCAGGAAGTAAAGCACAGAATAATTGATTTTATTGTCATAACTCATGTTAACTGTGTTTTTATTCATATTTCAGGAAGTGAAGCACGGAATTCTCTTTCTTGTGGAAATGCTAGAGCCTTTTCTTGATCCTGCCATATATACTTCAACAAGCAAAATCGCCTTTGGCAATATATTTGCCTTTCCGGAGAAGCAAGAACAAGCTTGTCTTATTGCCCTCAACATCATCCATACAGCGACTCGGAAACCAGCTGTTCTTCCTTCTTTGGAATCTGAATGGATGCGTCAATCAGTGGCCCCAAGGTATCTCATACTGTCATTTTATTTGTATGCAATTATTTGTTCTTAAAGTATTTGGCGGGAAAGGTTATCTTGAGGTTTGAACTTCTGTAAGTTGTTAGCATTGCATCAGGAAATAATTTGGAAAAATGACCTATGATATATACTAGAGATTGATAATTTGCATCTTTTATAGTATCAGCAATTGCGAGTGCATGGAAATGTTCAGATCATTGCTGCTCGGAAAACATGATTTTTCCTATATTTCCTTGAAAATTGAATAACTTCTCTGTATGTCTTTCAACCAAGATATAGCTGAATTCAGGATGTATGTTAGTTTGACTATTTACATAGTGATGGGTATTTTCAATTGTCAATGCAGTGTCCTCCTCTCAATATTGGAGCCCCGCATACAATTACCTCCAGATATTGACATGTGCAAATCTCCCATTTCTAAAGATGATGAGTATGAATCCTCGAATGTTTCTTGTGTCCAACATTCTGACTCTGATGGCAAGACAGAAGTGCCTGATACATTCAGCAAAATGGATGTTTTAGAAGATGCTAGTCTTCTTTTTGCTCCTTCAGAACTTCGGAGTATCAATCTGACTAATGTTAGTAGCGGTCCTAAAGAAAACATCCTTGAATTAAACCAATCAGAGTTGGAACAGAAAGACATTGAGAAGAGATATTCCAATCAATTTCTAAACAGTTTAGTTTTAGATTCTGGTTTCAGTGCAGAATATTACAATTTGCAAGCAGACTATTTTCAGCTCATGAACTTGAGGGACTGTGAACTTAAGGCATCTGAATTTGAGCGGTTGGCTTTGGATTTACACTCACAGCATGAGGTTTCCATTGAAAGCCATGATGCCGCTATAGATGCTTTGCTCTTGGCTGCAGAATGCTATGTCAATCCTTCCTTTGTAATCTCTCTTAAAGCCAGTTCCAATATCATGAATCAGATGAGCCTTAGTGGGGTTAAAATTCCAAAAGCTTTTGAAATTTCAGATCTTAGAAGGTTTTGTACTAAGAATAACAGTAATTTGCAAACAATAGCTCATCTTGAGAAGAATAGAGACAAGGTTGTCCTTAAGATACTTCTTGAAGCTGCTGAATTAGACAGGAAATATCATCTGAAGTTGTATGGGGATGATTGTCAAAGCTACTCTGCAGAATCTGATGAGCAACTCATTGAAATGTCTCCCTTTGATATACAGGCAATGGATGCTGTCACCTTGGTTAGACAAAATCAAGCCTTATTGTGCAATTTCCTGATTAAGAGATTGCAGGGAGAACAGCATTCTTTGCATGAAATTCTCTTGCATTGTCTTGTGTTCCTGTTGCACTCGGCCACTAAGCTATATTGTGCCCCAGAAGATGTGATTGATATTATATTGAAATCAGGTTACTACCTTAATGGGATGTTAACATCCCAGTACTGTCAGCTCAAAGAAGGAAAGTGCCAATTGAATCATGAAAAGGTACATGGAATGCAACGTCGCTGGATACTGCTGCAGAGATTGGTAATTGCTTCAAGTGGTGCCGGTGTTGCATCAGATTTTTCTGTCAATATCAATAATGGTTTCCGCCATGGGAATTTGATTCCTCCTTCAGCCTGGATGCAGAAAATATCCACATTTTCTCATTCTACTTCCCCTCTTGTTCGCTTCCTTGGCTGGATGGCAGTATCTCGAAATGCAAAACAATTCATAGAGGAGCGCCTTTTCCTAACTTCAGACATGTCAGAACTGACATATTTACTATATATATTCGCGGATGAGCTTGCATTTATAGATAAATGTGTTTATCCTAATTATGAAGATCGAAAGATTGAACAATGTGGTGGTAAACAAGTTTCTCCAACCTCCAATAGCTTTGAGGTTACTGATGGGCGGCATGGAGATCAATCTTTTCGTGTCATGTACCCTGATCTCTGTAAATTCTTTCCAAATATGAAAAAGCAATTTGAAGAATTTGGGGAAATCATTTTGGAAGCCGTTGGATTGCAGCTTAAATCACTACCTACTGCTGTTGTGCCTGATATTTTGTGCTGGTTTTCTGATTTGTGTTCATGCCCATTTTTTCAAGAGGACCAAGCTACTGCACAGAGTTCTCATCATTTGAAGGGCTATGTTGCAAAGAATGCCAAAGCAATAATTCTCTACATACTAGAAGCCATTGCTGTGGAGCACATGGAAGCTCTGGTGCCTGAGATACCAAGAGTGGTGCAAGTTCTGGTATCCCTTTGTAAAGCCTCGTATTGTGATGTGTCTTTCCTTGATTCTGTATTACATCTGTTAAAGCCAATTATCACGTATTCGTTGCATAGGGTGTCGGATGAGGAGCAACTATTGGTTGGCGATTCTTGTCACAATTTCGAGTCTTTATGCTTTGATGAGCTTTTTAGTAACATCAGACAAAGAAATGAGAATGATGACAGTTTGTTGCAAAAGTATTCAACAGGGCACTGACAATTTTCATACTGGCTTCTGTGTTTCCAGACTTATCCTTCCAACGTAGAAGAGAAATATTGCAGTCATTAACATTGTGGGCTGATTTTACTGCTTTTGAGCCAACTACTACTTTTCATGACTACCTCTGTGCTTTTAACAGTATCATGGGAAGCTGCAAAGTTTTCTTACTTCAAAATTTAAAGGTCTCTAATTTTATTCCTCTTCAGTTGCCTGACACAAACTCCAGGACACTTAGCGAAAGTGGCTCAGAATCTTTCTTGTGGTTTCTTAATGATGCATTACTTTGTTCCACTCCAAATGAAACTTCAGAGAAGCTGGAAAGTAACAACACTGATGCTGTTGTCTCAAATGAAAAAGAGTACCATCTGTCTGGAGAGGAAATAAAGGAGTTCACAAAAGACTTAGAGGGTCTTATTCCTAAGCTTTATCTAACTATTGAGAAATGTTGGTCTCTTCATCTTCAGCTTGCAAAGAAGTTGACTATTACATTGGCACAGTGTTTTATATACTCCAGATGCTCGTCTTCAATTGCTCCAACAATTCATAAAGCTAAAGGGGATAACAATGAAAATCCTTTGCCTTCTAAAGTAGTTGACAGGTTGCCAGCTCAGTGGAAAACAGGTATTGAAGGTCTTGCTGGAATGATTTTGATGCTCCAAGAAAATGCTTGCTGGCAAGTTGCGGCTGTGATGCTTGATTGCCTTCTTGGTGTGCCCCTTAGTTTTCCACTTGATGATGTTATCCATCCTATTTGTATTGCGCTAAAAAACTTCTGTTGCAAGGCACCAAAGATATCTTGGCGTTTGCAAACTGATAAATGGTTGTCAATATTATCCTTAAGAGGCATCCATAATCTTCATGAAAGTGATATTCCTTCTCTAGTTAATCTCTATGTTACAATGCTGGGTCACCCTGAACCTGAGCAACAGTTCATAGCGCTTCAGCACTTGGGTAGATTGATAGGACAAGATGTAGATGGTGGGAAAATGCTGCACTCTTCTAATTTTTATAATCAGATAGTTTCGCCAGGTTCAATTCATTCTATTCCTGAAAAGATACTGTCACTTTTGGTCTCTAGTACATGGGGTCAGGTAGCTGTTCTGGCGTCATCGAATGCATCATTATCCTTGAGGGCTTGTGCAATGGCACTTCTTGTGGGTTTTATTCCATTTGTTGATAGGCCCCAGTTACAATCCTTCCTTGCAGCAGCAGATAATCTTTTATATGGCTTAGGCCGGCTCGTTTATCCTATTTGTGAGGGACAATTACTTAAACTTTCATTGGCACTTATTATTAGTGCTTGTCTATGCTCTCCAGCTGATGATATTTCTTTGATTCCTCAAAAGGTTTGGGAAAATATTGAGACTTTAGGTTTTTCCAAAGCTGGTATGTACTCAAGTCATTTTGTTTGTATAAATCTAGCTTAAACAACAAGGAACTGTTTAGTTCATCATAATCATTTTCTTACTGGTGTCCCTTCTACAGAATACAGGCTTCCAGATCTTGAAAAGCAGGCATGCCGAGTCTTGTGTAGATTGAGAAATGGAGTTGACGATAAAGAGGTATGTTTTAGTACAATTGCAAAGAGATATAGGACATGATATGGTATTTGGCTGCTAGCAAGAAAAATATTTTTTATATGCTAATACTTGTACCAACATATGCTTGTTTTTCTAAATGAAATCTTCTTTATATATTGGTCCACAAAATATATGCTTATTTACTTGTAACATTCATTATAATAAACTGACTTACTCTATCTGTGAAGGTCCTGAAAGAAGTGCTCTCCTCAAGTTGCACAAAACAACTTGACCCTGAATTTGGAAGCACCCGAGAATCAATTCTTCAGGTAACCGTGATTCTGATCCTGATGATTATTTCTAGATTAAATGCTTTCATTGTAAGGGGAAAAAGGGGTTGGGGGGTAGAGAAAAGATATTCCAGTTATGTAGAAATTAAATTGTTTCTGTCTTATCCTTTTTCCTCTTCATAGCCTTATCTATAACTATTATCATTTATTTATGACAGGTCCTTGCTAATCTAACTTCTGTTAAGTCATACTTTGATATATTCGAAAAGAAAATGGACGAAGAGGCTATGGTAAGCTGGATAACCATTTTGCTCTTTCCCACCCATCTCGTCCCCAGATACCATTATTTAATTTCATATGCTACAGGAACTAGAGGAGGCTGAAATGGAATTGGATATTATTCAAAAAGAATCTGCACTGCAAGAATCATTGGAAGATTCTAAGGGCAACCAGCTTCCACTTCATGCCAGTAATATTTCTGTTCTTAATATGTTCTTCGCCATTCCTTTCTCCCCTTTTACAAGTAACATAATCATAATATAGGCCCCTGATGCTGTTATTTATCACGCAATTTTATCTTTTTCTCCCAGCTCCTGTGAGAGATGAAAACCGGCTTCAACAGATCAAGGAGTGCATTCATTCCTTGTAAGTAAAATACAATAAAGATGGTGATTTTTTTTGCTTCATTTTCACTTGCTAATCTAGATTCATTTTATTTCTTTTCTCGACTTTACAATTCAAACTTCATTTCACATGCACTGCTCAGTGACTTTGCTCACTTAAGTTGCCAGATATTTTGTAATCTTAATTTTGATTTGATTCTGTCAGAGAAAAGAACAAAATTCAAGAAGATATAGTAGCTCGCAGGCAACAGAAACTTCGAATGAGACATGCTCGTCAAAAGTATCTGGAAGAGGCAGCTTCGCGAGAAGCTGAGCTTTTGCAAGAACTTGATAGGTTTTGCTTGTGTTGCTCTTTCCAGATGTTGAAATTATATAATTTTAGAGTGAGTAAACATGTCAACAACTGTCAACAACTTTGCCATTTGTATGCCAGGGAAAGGACAGCTGAAGCTGAAAAAGAGATTGAAAGACAGCGTTTGCTGGAACTTGAACGTGGTAAAACAAGGGAACTACGACACAATCTGGATATGGAAAAGGAGAGGCAAACACAGGCATGGCACGATTTATGTTATAATTATACTAACTTTATACAAAGTTTATTGAGCATATCTGTTTTGTGCCTTGCAACTTATTAGTGTTCCTCTGCTGAAAATGCCTTTATTATCTCTCAAAAACAGTCAGTTTCCTTTCCGTTAAATTTCAAAGAACCACTGTCATGTTCCATGGATGCCTTTGCATATCACGTGTTCTCACTATGTGATGGATATTCTACCCTTCCGGTCCTCCTATTCTTTTATACTTTTGCATGATTCAGATTATCATGCGACTAAAACTGAAGTACAGGAGAATCAGTTCATCTTTTTGGCTTGTCAAATGCAGAGAGAACTTCAACGAGAATTGGAGCAGGCCGAATCTGGACTAAGATCATCAAGGCGTGACTTCCCTTCATCTCATAGTAGGTATGGCTATTTTCATCTTTTTCAGACTGATCCTTAATTCTGGGCTTTCCCCCCTGCAGGCAAAGTCTTAATTCATAGAGCATTCCCTTTTTTGCAAAATAACCTATTAACCATAATTTGCTATCAAGAATACTTGCATTATTTTCTATTCTTAAGCTACGGTTATTTGGCTTGAACAATTTGGCAAACTTTTTCTGTGACATCATAATTGTTTGCTCGATTCAAGTAGAACACGTCTTTCTAGGTGCAGCCTGCTTGATTTTGTCTTCTTTGAATTGCAGATGAGACCTACATTATTTTGGAGTTTTTTTTCTTTTCTTGAAGAACCCATGTCCGATACATATTCGGACATGGGAAATGACATTTCAAAGATCCTCCATATATATGGAAAAACTGCAAAAATAAAACTTATGAGATGGGTTAAGCATTTTCATATCGGATTTAAAAAAAGTTGGCAGCTAGTATTTATCTGCTAATTTAAGAATAAGAGATTTTATGTTTTATGCGTCTGCTTGATTTGATTTCTGTGATTATGATGTTTATTAAGGAACTGCTACCTTCTATTTTCTCCTTTAACATTATTAACATATGCTTTAATACAACATTATTGACACTGCATGCTACTTGTGTCATTGCTAATGCCTCATCGGTTATGTAACATTTTTCATCTACAGTAGGCCACGGGATAGGTACCGAGAGAGGGAAAATGGAAGATCAAGTAATGAAGGAAGCACACGAACTAGTAGCGGTCTGCAATCCGAAACCACATCAATGGCTGCTATGCCAACGGTCCTGTCTGGATCACGACAATTTTCTGGCCAGCCTCCCACCATTTTACAGTCACGTGACCGTGCAGATGACTGTAGCAGCGGTTATGAAGAAAATTTCGACGGAAGCAAGGACTCGGGAGATGCAGCCAGCATCGGTGACCTAGAGTTGGCATCTTCATTTGATGGAGGGCAATCTGGTGGTTTTGGGTCATCCCAAAGGCACGGATCTAGAGGGATCAAGTCCAGGCAGGTATTAGAGAGGCAAGAGAGGGATGGTCGACGCGAGAGCAAGTGGGAGAGAAAACATTATTATTGACCCACTTGCCAGGGAAATGGCAAGGCTTATTATGAGCATTACATAAAAGGAGATTTACCGGCGGCCATTATTGAATCCTGAGGTGATTCTGGTTCATGTTGTACTTGTGCTTGTCAATGTTGAAAATATGTAAAATATTGTTGTAGCTTCTGCCCCAATTGACCATATATAATTTGTTATTGATGAAATGGTATTGAACATTTCATAGATAGGGGCATTATTAAAATATGCAACTTTTTTTGTATCTGAATATTTCTGGAATTTTCAATGATTTATTTAGCTTTACTAAGTTCAAATCATCCTCGAATGTCTATTAAATCTCAAGTTTGATAGAAAATTGCCTGGTGAAAATCTTGTAGACTTTTATTTTAGGTTAAATTCCATGTAGTGTGTGGGACGGTGTGTTCCTCAGCTTTGTTTGGTTCAATTACATGTCAAGTCCTTAGCAATTTAAAAAAAAGGTTGATCAGAATCTTTGGTCTCCAAATTTATGGTTTAATTGCTTTTGAAGTCCCTGTCAGTTTTGAAATTAATTCCCTAAATAGTGACCGAAAATTTTGAAGTCAAACTCTAATAAGATTTTGGTTTCCCAACTGAAAGATTAAGGTACGTGAAATCAGTTTTGATTTGGAATGCAATTATTTTAATAGAATCTAGAAGTTGGATAATTTTTTTTTGATAAAATCTGTTATGTGCGTGGAGAAAAAAAAGAGAATTGTTAGGGATTTATGTTGAGAAGCTAGGGATTGATCGTGGCAAATTTGGGGGAAATGAAATATTACCTCGAGCAGAAGAACCGAATGGCTATTTGGAGCAGAGGACCCGCGTAGTGATACCAACAGAGGATGGGCTGGAAATGAGGAAGAGTGGCCCAACAAGAAGTGACCCACCAATTCTGATCTGATGAGGAGGAGCTCATCAAGTGAACCACAATTAGTTATGAATGTCAGTTGTACAAAATAAGTTTGTTAGAATTGTACTGAAGAATATAAGGAGAATATGTAATATAAACATTATATTCTGGCAATTGTAATGAAATATCATCATTTCTCTTAAATCTATTCTTTTAAATTTCACTAAATCCCTAAATTCTTTCTTGAATTCTCTAAGGTTCATAACAATTGGTAATCAGAGCTTAGCAAAGATCCATCGTCAAGCTAAGTAAGCAGAAGAAAATCCCACAGATGGGTGATAAGGTGGGTGATAAAGTGGAATCAACAACCAAAACAAGCAGTAATGAGGAGACTAAGAATGAAGTTCGGGTTCCTAAGGGTGGGAAGAACAAAAAGAAGAATGGGAAAACAGAATGAAGATGCTGGAGAGCAGGATGGATGAGACCTAAGGATATTTGCAGAAGATATTGAGTTGTGTGTCTAAAGTAAGTGAAGAACCTGAGCAGAATACTCCTGAAAGGGATGACCAGGTAATTGATACATCTTTACCTAAATTTGAAGGAAAAAAGCCTACGCAAGTGACAGTGATAAATGAGCATGAGAAATATTCCTTTTATCCTGAGGGTCCTGGAGTATTAGCTCTTAAACCAGAAGGCTACAAATCATCTATTTCCCTAACACAAAACCAAAAATTGAACTTAGGAGGAAATAATCATCAATCTGGAAGTACTTCACTCTCTAAAGATCCCTATTTGTATGAGAAAAGTGTACCAAATCAGTCTTTTACCCTAAGAACTAAGATAGAATTACAATGTTTGATGGTGATAACCCAAGGAGTTGGGTCAAAAAATGCCAAAAGTATTTTATCATTTTTGCAATTCCTGATGAACAGAAAATGGAAATAGCAGCAATGTATCTAACATGTAAGGCTGAAAATTGGTATGATGGGTATATTATGTAGAAAGGTCAAGTAAGTTGGCAGGAATTTATGGAGGATGTATGTAGCAGGTTCTGTGACAAGAACTACATTAATGTGATTAAGGAATTTAGTAAGCTTTTGCAGAAATCCATAGTGGAGACTTATCAAGAGAAGTTTGAGGAGCTCAAGCCAATTATGCTACAGCACAATTCTCATATGGGAGAAGAATATTTTGTATCTATGTTTTTGAGTGGATTGAAGGAGGAAATTAAGCATAGAGTGAGGATGCATGAACCTAAAAGTCTGGATGAAGCTTACAGGAAGGCCAGATTGTGTGAATTGGCATTGGAAATTGAAGGGAAAAAGAAGATGTCAGTGCTCAAGAATAATTATCAGGGAACACATCCTCAATCACAAAAGTTTGTAGGTGCATCAAATATTCAGAAGAATTCAACAATCAATTCTCCAAATAAACAGACTTTGATAGAGTATAGAAGAGCACATAATTTGTGTTTTAAGTATGGAGAAAAATTCACTCCTGGTCATCAATGTAAACTTAAACAGCTTAATATGATGGAGGAGGAAGAAAATATAGAGGGAGATGAGGAAGGAGCCAGAGAGGAAGAAACAGATGATAAGGAATAAGGGGCTTTGGAGATTTCTATTAATGCTCTTACTGGCAGTGTGGGACATAATACTCTAAGACTTCAGGGAGTTATTAAAGGAAAATCACTGAATATTTTGGTGGATAGTGGAAGCACACACAGTTTCATCAAGCCTAGATGGGCAAAGGAATGAGTGGAAATGGAACAAACTCATCCTCTAGCTATTACAGTTGCTAATGGAGAGAAATTATTCAGCACTGCCAAGAGTAACAAGCTGAGTTGGAAAATACAAGGAAATTCATTTGAGTATGATTTTAGAGTTCTGAATATGTGGTGAAGTGATATGGTGTTAGGAGTGGATTGATGAGTCAATATAGTCCAATTATTATGGATTTTAAAGAGATGACTATGGTTTTTAAAGTGGGAGAAAGGGAGATTAAATTGGAAGGAAAACAAAAAGGTTCTTACATGAAATGGATTTCAGAGTCTAAGCTGAAATAGATTATTGTTAAAGAACCAGAAGTGATAGGAGAAGCCTATTTTTTGAGTATGGAGGTAGTTGAATCCAAATTTCCAGAAGAATTACAACCCTTACTAGAGGAGTATCAAGATGTTTTTGAAGAACCTAAGAAAATTCCCCCTATTAGAATTCATGATCATGCAGTGATTCTTAAGGAATGAACTCAACCATTAAATCTTAGACCATACAGATTTCCACACCCACAGAAGGTAGAAATTGAAAAACAGATTAAAGAGATGTTGTTTGCTTCAATTATTCAAACCAGAAAGAGTCTTTTTGCTTCACTTTGTTTATTGGTAAAGAAGAATGATAGAATATGGAGAATGTGTGTGGACTATAGACAACTAAATGCTATGACAGTTAAGAACAAATTTCCAATTCCAGTAGTAGAAGACTTGTTGGATGAATTGGCAGAGGCTTCCTATTTTTTTAAAATAGATCTGAGATCAGGACATTGGCAGATAAGAGTTAAAGAAGAGGACATTCCCAAAATAGCATTCAGAACACATCATGGACATTATGAGTTCAAGGTAATGAACTTTGGTTTAACCAAAGCACCTACCACTTTTCAAGCACTAATGAATTACTTATTTGGTCCATATTTGAGGAAGTTTGTGTTAGTATTTTTTTGATGATAGTTTGGTGTACAGTCCTAATCTCTATGATCATAAACAACACTTGAAGGTGGTCTTGGAGATCTTGAGGAAAAATCAATTGCATGCAAAAAGAAATAAGTGTTTATTTGGATAGAACAAAGTGGAGTATTTGGGGTATGTAATAACAGCAGAAGGAATTTCCACTGATCCTATCAAGGTGGAAGCAATGCAAAAATGGCCATTTCCAAAGAATCTTAAGTCTTTGAAAGGCTTCCTAGGACTTACAGGATATTATAGGAAGTTTATTAAGGGGTATGGAGAACTCAGTAAACCATTGACAATTTTACTAAAAAATGGAGTTTTTAATTGGAATGATGAAGCAGAAGCAACTTTTAAGAAATTGAAGTAGTCTATGTGTGAAGCTCTTGTATTGGCTCTTCCAAATTTCAATAAGAAATTATGTTTGGAGACTGATGCAAGTCAACAAGGAATAGGGGCTGTTTTGACACAGGAAGGCAGACCATTAGCTTATTTGAGTAAGGCTTTGGGACCAAGGCATATGGAACTGTCTATTTATAAGAAGGAATATATAACCATACTCATGGTTTTATCTAAATGGAGACACTACCTAAGAAATGGTCTTTATATAATCAAAATAGACCATGAACCTTTAAAACATTTACTAAAGCAGAAATTGACCAATACAATTCAGAAAAAAAGGATTATCTAAATTGCTGGGTTTGGATTATGTTATACATTATAGGAAGGGCATATTGAATGTAGTGGCAGATGCTTTGTCAAGAAGATTTGAAGAAAGAAGGAGGTTAAAAAGGTTGAAGAAACAGGAGAGTGTATGTAGATGACTACCACTATACTGATTCCTGAGTGGGTAAAAGAAATTGAGGACAATTATAAGGGAGATATCTTAGCTCATAAATTTATTACAGGCTTAACCATTAACTCTAATATAGAGTATTATGATTGGAAGTTGGTTAAAGGAGTGCTAAGGTATAAGAACAAGGTTTTACATTGGGGAACATGGAAATTTAAGGAAGAAAATCATGGAGTGTTTGCATGATTCCCCTCAAGGAGGACATTCTGGAGTACAAGCAACATACCACAAAATTAAACTTTATTTCTATTGGAAAGGCTTGAAAAGTCAAGTTAAGTCTTATGTGAAGGAGTGTGAAGTATGCCAAAGAACAAAAGGGGAGAATGTGGCAATTCCAGGTTTGTTACAACCTATTGCTATTCCTAATTAGACATGAGAAGTTATTACTATGGATTTCATTAAAGGACTGCCACAGTCAATGAAATTCAATTGCATCTTGGTAATAGTGGATAAGTACTCTAAATATGGCCATTTTTTAGCCATATCTCATCCCTATACAGTGCTGAGATATCTAGGACCTATTTGGAGCAAGTATATAAATTCCATGGACCACCAAAGATAGCTATATCAGACAGAGACAAAACATTTACAAGCTTATTATGGAAATAATTAATGAAACAGCTTGGAACTATAACCTTTTCAGTACATCCTACCATCCAGAGACAGATGGGCAGACTGAAAGGTTAAACCAGTGTTTGGAACAATACTTGAGAAGTATGTGTTTCCTTAAACCTGATAATTGGGCAAAATATTTACCACTGGCTTAATGGTGGTATAATACTAATTATCATACAACCCTAGGAGTTACACCTTTTG